AAGGCCGATGCTGTTCAAAATAATTACAAATTGGGCACGACAACCACAAACAAAATAAATGAGAACAGGCACGCAGGCCCTAAAAAATAATAATAATCAAACTCCGTTTTCCCCGTCACTATTATCGGGGGTATAAAAGATTTTCCCGTCAATAACTTGGTTGAACGGACCCGCACCTTCAACCACCATCTCCACCCCCGGGTTCAGGATCTTCAGCTGTTCAACGACCATGTTGAAACCATAGCTGAGGGTGTCAACGGCGTCTTGTTCAAGCACTCGGATGCGAGCGATCAACTCTGCCCTGGACACAATGATCTTATCCGCATCTGTTTCCTCCTCGGCTGGGGCAATGATCTTTTCCAACTCCTTCGTGCGCGCGACCAGACGCTCGTTCTCTTTAGCAGCGGCCTCCAGTTGGGGACTCAAATCATTCAGATCCTTGAGAAGTCGAACTCGAGCCTCGAACTTTGACTCATGTTTAAGGATGTCACACTTTAACTTCTTATTCTTGGCCTTCATGTTTTGAATCTTGGCATAGGCTGCATTGAGAGAGACCTGAAAGCTCGCAGCCTCATCATTCAGCAAAAGGGATGTCTTGAGCATTCTCATTACAATGGCCACATCCTCCACTAAATTCTTGCGACGAACTTTCTTATCCTTGGACAAGATCGCCTCCATCTCATCCTCGTGCATGCCCAGGGAGTTCTCCCTATTAAAGAGATCGCGGTTTAGATAGCAAGGAGGTAACATAAAGGTCCCCTCGGGAATTTTTTCACCCTCGCGCGCCACGCCTTCGGCACTCTCCACCCATTTCCTCTTCGTCGCGGGCTCGCTGACAGGAATCTGGACGGGTTCGCCAGAGGGAACCAAATTTTTTGATGAAGAGGGGGAACCACTACCACAGCCCATAGATTTGGCCTGCTCCTGGAGCTGGGTGACCCTGCTCTTTGCCCCGGAGGTAGATGCATTCTTGGGCCTTAACTTCAATAAGCACTCAAAAAGGGGAGCCATTCGACCTGCAATCAAAACGGAACCGTAAGTCGGGGCCACGTCCCCGCTTAAAGACAAGCAAAATTAATCATCATGGATACGTTCCCTACATAAAATCCTCATGGCTTCCCCGTCCGAGGATCACTCGAGAAGGTCCTTGGTGTTAACCAACCTATTAACTAAAAGATACCCCCCTCGTTGTCGAACATGAGGTTGTTGTTCATATCCACACACTTCGCAGGGGAGAATCTCCTAACATAGGCCGACAGCTTCTCATATGAAAGCTGGTCCTAGCGTCCAGGTCCTCGGGCTTCACTGTGTAATATTCAGGTCTTTGCTCGAAGTGCTTCTATTGCCACTCGAGCAGAAATCTGGCCACGAGCCGAGTGACTGGCCGCCCATCCTCCACCTCTTCCACGCGAGTGTACAAGGAATCTATGGCCGCGTCCTTCAGAGGCTTCACAATGAAATACCTCTTTTTGAAGTTTTAGACAGACTCTAGATAAGGCCTAAAGAGCTTCCTGGACTGCTTGAACGACACCCAAGCCTGCCCCTCTCTGACGGATTGTCCTTGGAGATGAAAGATCTGGAAAAAGAGGGGCAACATGGCCCATATCTGCAGATACTGGCATACAAGTTCGAACGCTCGCATAAACGCCAACGCGTTCAGGTGAAGCTGAGAGGGCGCTAGTTGAAGCCATTGAAATATCCCTACTTGGAAATTATTAAAGGGAAAACGCATCCCGCCTCTTTAAACGTGAATTCGTACATAGGGAATTGTTTTCCCAGAGACGTGGAGAATATTCTCCAATTACGGTGGGGAATCTGAAGCATCCAGTTGGTAGGTGCCCCTTCCGCTCGTACCTCCAGACAATTGAACGCGTTCGTTGCATCCTGAGAAAAGCACGACCGTTTATTTCGAGGCTCAGGAGCAACCCAAGCCAGAGGGTTCTCATCACCGTATGGCTCGTCTTCATAGTTGGCAGCCAGAATGTCATCCCCGACTAAGTGCGCCATTATACCTAAAAAGCAGGGGAAAACAGTGAATTCGATATTATCAAATTCACCCTTCCATAGCAGATCAAGTGAAAGGGCGATGAACTCGACTCAAGCCCTCGACTATACGTTAAAGCTGACTACGTTGTCATGGGGATATTCACTCAACGAGCAAGAAGCCCAAGTCAACCCCTGTCATCCGGGGAGGACGTCCCCTATATCATGGCCACTATTCGGGGAGAACTCCCCCAACGTCATAACTAATGAATATCAATGAACATTCATGAGTGTTCATCATAGAACATTTGAATATTCATCCAGTCAAGGAAAATTTTAGATGTTTAATCCAGAAATGCTGAAGAAAGATGTTGTTGAGGGGATATAACTTACTTGGATGAAGAACTCTTGAAGAAAAAATCTGGGGAAGTTGGGAGGATAGGTTCACGCACAAGTAAGAGAAGTTGAAGGAGAACTTGAGAAAAAAACAAATGAGACCCAGGGCCCCCCTTTTATAGGTGACTCACGCCCCACGAGGTCCCTCACGAAAGTCATCATTGGATTGAGTCTTTTGGGTTTCCTCTTGAAAGGGTGGCACCCCAAAGCATTAGCCATGTGGCTCAACAGTCAACCACGTGTCCCTTCTAGATCAATGAGCATGTCCCTGACTCCAACATGCAATCCCCATACGTCCACGAGGCAGATTCCCCACACGGCGGGTTGCTCGATGCTCCGACGCGCACACGGGCACATCCATTCAATTATCTCAACGATGAAATAATGCTCGACATCTCAAAACAACCCCCTGGAGACGGACGCATCGAAAGAGATCTCGTGGGGGCTCCCCGTAACTAACACGGTCCTCTCAAGTGGGCAACTGACCTCTTCGGACTCACTGCTCGTTCATCCATAAATATCCCTGACACAATTAAACAAGTTATCCCCCATGCGGGCAGCAACCCGTTCCTTTCGAAGGACTCTGACCGTCCTTCTAGATCAAGTCTCCGGCTATAAAAGCTGAACTTAAGTCATCATTCTTCTGCTCAAGGGCAACAACTTGGGGGCTCCTGGTCTGGACTGGGCCTACACCTTCCCCTCGAATAGGAAGCCCAAACCAATACCTTTGCATATGGCCCAAACAGACAACTCAAGTTAGAGATCGTTGGGTAACTCCCCACATATCTTTTGGGGATTGTGGCCCATGTCCTCATGTCATTCATCTTAACTGTCCTCCGAGAATCACGGGTCCAACCCATATTCTCGTGGAGCAGTTGACCAGGGGGAGTCCACTTGCTGGACTCCATACACACGTAAGCCCTGACAGTTTCCATTATTGGGCCTCAATGTGACCCAATAATGGGAACGTTGGCCCAACACTGGGGGCTATAAATACCCTCTCTTCTGAGAGGGTCAAGTATTCAACACTTTATAAACTCTCATACTTGCTTGCTCATTCCCAAACTCATTTTAGCATCAGAGTGTCTTACATGTATCCTCTCCCCCCACTTCACTCTCAACTTCTGCTCGAGTTAGCTGTGACGGTCCATTCTGATCGGATACAATCACTTACCATTTTATTATATTTGAAAAACTCTAAACACATTGTTCTGAGATTCACTATCGCAAAACAACCTTTAATAAGAGATTACAGGGTAAACAATAATGTATTATTTGTTACACCTACGTATGTATATGAGAACGATAAACACTATGGGCTAGACTTGTATAAATTGAGTTCTAGTGTAAAGGCAAACCCTAAGTGCTTGATTTGAAAATGAGTTTAAGGTAGACTTATAAATTACCTTGATTGTTTTATTTGATCTTGATTTTCTAGAACTCTTCTTATAGTTGTATTATTAAATGTGATATTGTGCTCTATTTGTCTTTGAGAAGCTCAATGAGATCATAGTATTTCATCTTACTATGTTGACTATTTTTCAAGTGTAAGTTTTTTCTTTCATGTTTATCTGAGTCGGTCACAACTGAGTTTAGATTTAAGATTTTATGTTACGATTCTAATTTCAAAAATATTGAAATGTAATAGATTATCTATATTTTTTAAAAATAAAATGTTTTAATTGAAAAGCCTCTATGAGTTGTAAAGTCATTCACACAAAAAAAGTTTTAGTGAAATTTGAGCTCTCTTTAAAGAAATGTTTCCGCAAAAAAAAAAATCCTATTTTCTTTCTACTTAAAATAGGGGGTTATACTTCATGTTCCACCTAGATGTCAAGTCAATATTTTTTAATAGGCCTATTCCATGATTGGTTTTTGTCACTGAACCACCACAATTTATTATCAAATGCATGGTGCATAGATTAAATAAAGCTTATGGCTTAAAACATGCATCCAGAGCTTGGAAAAAAAGGATATATGGTTTTCTAGTGCAATTGGGCTTCAACAAATGTAGAAATGAGTATAGATGTGTATGTGGAGGGAACAACATCAATCATAATTTTAATATGTTAGTAGGTTGATGATCTATACTAGTAATTGGAAGCAATCAGATTGAGATCAAGAAATTCAAGAAGCTCTTAATGTCTAAATTTGGGCATGTTATCCTATTTTATAGGAATTAAAATTTTCAAACCCTTAAGAGGATTGAAGTGACATGAGAGAAACTATGTTGGTGAAATTCTTAAAAGGCTAAAGATGAATGAGTGTAGCCTGGAGCAACACCTATTGAAACAAATCTCAAATTAAAGAAAGGAAGCAAAGAAGAGAAGGCAGATTCCACAATCTTTAAACATATTGTCCAATTGAATCTAATTTAATATATTCATACAAATTTTTAGAGACTAAACTATAGATCCAAATCTTGTTTGAGTTGGTTCAATCATGCCTTCGAATCGGCTAACTAGTGATCCTTTTGCCGGATGAATAACCGGGCAGGTTTTTATTGCATACATAAGATAAACCAACTCCTTAATAATGCATGGCATATGCATTTTATTTAGTACACCAGAAACTTACTATCTCAACTTCCATGTCTGAAAACACTCACACATGTATAGTATTTATTTGACACTCCCTTGACTAGTAGAAGAGGATCTTGAAGTCCAGTAATTCTTTATATCTTCATCTGTTCGTCCAGGAATTCTTCCAGCAATTAATGACCACCTGAAAAACAATATATTATATATATTCAAAAAGTTAATTTAAAAAATGATAGTACATATTGAGCCAAAGTATAATATATTAATCATACTAACTAAATTACCTATCCCCTAGTAGTTTATACATCCTGATGATAAGAGCTTCCTCATCTTTAGAAATTTCGACCTTGGAATTTACTTGAGTAATACTACTGGAATTGGATTGATCTGCTAGTAAATTTAAAAATATTAATGTTTCAAAATAAATTTCCAAACATAAACCCTAGGGTGAATTCGGATCTAAAAACGTACGTACCTATGGAAGAATCAGCAAAAACTTCGTTAGAGGTGTGTTTCACGTTGGCCATATATAACAAGTGCGAGGTTAGTGTGAATAAAAAATATGTTTGCAGATGAGGAGGGGCTAATACTAATAGATAGGTGGTTTAATATAGGGCAAGTAACTTGAATGATCAATAGTATGGAAGAGTACTAGTGTGAAGAATGGGTGGTGTGGAGGGTGGGAGCAAAGTAAAGAAAAGAAAAGACTGAAGGTTGGGGTTGACTGTTTAACTTTGTTCCTATAGGTAGTTGCACATGATTGTTGGATGAATAATATTACTTTTTTTATTAGTAGTTAGGAAGTTGCTTGCTTAGTTGGTCTTTTGCTATTAAAATGTGTTCAAGAGTAGTTCTTTTTAAGTTAATATTTTTTCCTTCTTTTAAAATGAAATGAAAGTTTATTTTGATCTTTTAATTTAAAAATTTGTATAAATTTTTAATTAACTCTTCAAAAGTATAATTTTAGATTTTTTATTTAATTAATGATGAAAAAATTAGAAATTAGTCAATTATATTTATTGTTAATTAGTAGAAGTCACATTTTGAAGATTAATAAAGTTAATATGTATATTTTTTAAGATAAGAAATCAAAATGAATTTTGAAGTTAACATATGGAGTAAAAGGAATATTAAACTATATGTTATGAGGGGGTCAATGATAATCACATTGGTCTTTATGTTTACTTTAAATGAGTTGGACACTCATATATTATCCCAAAATCTTAAGACATTAGGTTTATGGGTCTTCTCACATATAAAGTGTTTAACATCTATTTTTTCATCCAATGTAAGACTCGTACTCACACTTGATATATCAACAATCTATCTGTTAAGTGTGAGTTCATCCATTCTTATGGATATTCTCTCACTTAAATGGAAGTCTTTTTCATCCATATCTACTAATGGAAGCCTTTTTCATCCATATCTACTTGCATAACTGTTGGATGAACTCAATGAAACACAACCAAAACACCATTTTCAAGAAGACTTTTGATACAAGGAGTCCTAATCAAACTAGACTTTGATACCATTGTTAGATCATGAGGCAGTCTGGAAATCATCACATTGGGCTTTACACACTCACTTTAAATGAGTTGGATACCACATATTAACCTAAAACCTTAAGTCATTGGATGTATGAGTCTTCTCATTTATAAAAGTATTTAACATCCGCTTTTCCTTCCAATATGTGACTCATACTCACAGTTGATATATATATATATATATATATATATATATATATATATATATATATATATATATATATATATATATATATATATATATATATATATATATATATATATATATATATATATATATATATATATATATATATATATATATATATATATATATATATATATATATATATATATATATATATATATATATATATATATATATATATATATATATATAGTAATGGTAAAAAAATACAGGTGTGTGTGTGTGTTTCTCCTGCAAGAGTAGGAGACTCAGAGGCCTTAGTAGGTTTATTATATTGTATGGTAGTTAGAGCTTGCCCATAGTTGCGAGAAGTCCTGTATGATGGTGTTTTATGGTGGTTTTAGGAGTCCTACTCACATGAGGTGAGAGACTCTACAAATGAATGATGTGCTTAAGTATAAGCGTATAATGATTGTGATTTGTACGGGTTATGATATGTTTTTTCCTCCCTAAGGGAGGTGTGTTTATATAGGCCTTTTTGGGTCTAGAATTTGGACAACTCTGAGTGGCGACAAGTGTTCCCCCTTGATCATAAGAAGTTATTGGTCGACTAATCTTTTTGGAATAATTGTGGACTTCCACCCCCCTTGACTAACGGCTCCTCACACGTCATAAATGACAATGGCGAGTCCCTATGTCATTTCCTATACGATACAACTCTTGGGCGAGAGCGCCCTAGTTTAGGATACTCAAAAATATAACACTACATAATCTCTCAAGCGTGAGAGTTTCGCTAAGGAAGAAGTGTTTTTAAGACGCTTTATTATTGTTCGATAAGGAAAAATTGATCATGCCACCCACCGATATTTCACGTGTAGTGGCTTTAGCAATATGGTGCAAATGATAAGCTGCAAAGGCTGCAGCATTGATAAAATCATTGTTAATCATAAAATTCATAAAAAAATAATTCCTGTTGGGAAGCAACACCTGTAGAATCATCGCGGCCAAACAAAGTATAGGCCAATGCCTTTTGCAAGTATCAAAAAATAGGATTTTGAATCCTGGAGGCCTTGGCATTAGCCGCGGTATAATCACGAAGCCCGGTTATAGAGTACCAAAATTTAGAAAAATCTAACTCTTTGGGGACATAACGGGTCCATAGACCGGGAGTTGTAACACCCTATTTCTACCCAATAAATTATATAAAATCAGAGTTATAAAAATTTCTAACAAACAAATGGAATGCTACACTTTCAACTTGGAAACAACGATATTCAATCGCCTGTAATTCAGATGCATAACACATAAAATTCGGATGAACTGATAACAATCTGTTTAGTCTTTAAAAATAAAACAACTTTCGTTGCTACGCAGCGGATTCACAAATTCAACTGAAAACATCATAACATCTTGTCCAACTCAAAACGGATTTAAGACAACAAGTCTTTAATGAAAACAACTTTAAAAATTCAGCAACATAATGAAAACCAACAATTAAAAAAACATGCATTCATCCCCCCAAGTGCTACGTATCAGAGCGACAACACCAACTCGAATTAACAAAGGTAACAACTATCCTTCTTGATTACCTACACATTACCAACAAAGGGCAACATTCAAACGAAAGAGGTGATATATCGAACCATATAATTGAGTATATGATAAACAATTTATTAGATCAGATTATACAAAATCACCATTTCATAATTTTTAACCAACATCAATCATCACAAGTCAACAACACAACATGTTAAATATGCAACACATAATGCGACCCGTTACTGTAGCGGTGAAAATCGGAGATCAAGCTATTAATTAACTTGACTCGTAAATAATCAAGAGTCAGCATCGCGCTTTATTATTTCCAAGGAAAAAGGGGAAAGTGCGAAATAAAACCCATAAATATACAAAGTAAGTGCAATACTAAAAGTAAAGAAAAATATAATGCATTTGAAAAGATCGAAGATTCGGGGGTTAGTTATACAAAGAGGATGTACTAGCATCCTATGTATCTATAGTATCCTATATGAACCTTTTGAAATATCTGTATTTTTGGTTTAAAAGTTTGTTTGCAAATAGGATCGGGGATATGAGAAATTTTGAAAATGTAACGACCTAATGTCGAAGTTTTGGCTTAAAAGGGTAAATTTGAAAATAGGGTTTTAAACATTTTAACTAATGGGAAACAAATATGAAATATAAAGACTCACAATAACATAAAGTCAAAGAGACGATCCTTTCCCTTGGATTCAAACACAAAGATAATAATTAGATGAAGACTGGACAAGAACCATGCATCAGATAAAAATGGATAGTAACCATAGTCCAAGGATTGAAGAACCAATTTTAGGTTTTTTCTTTATTAAGTGACTTATAACAAGCAAAAGAAAACAAAAAGCTCAAGTGAGCAAAGAGAATATAAATGCTCAAGTGAGCAAAGAAAAAAATGCATAAAGTAAAGAAAATAAAATGCTATGGATGATAAACGATATAAAAGTAAAGAGAAGAAAATATAAAGTGCGAAAATATAAATGATATTAAAGTAAAGTTAGTACAATATAAAGTTAATAATTTGATTTGGGATAAGTCTAACTTCATATGGAGCATATAATGTATGCACTCATACATGTTAGAGAAATGACACTTTGAAGTTCATTTTTTATACATGTAGTACAAGTAACAAATATGAGGGATCAAGACAAAGTCAAGGAAGATACATTATGACAAACTTATCATCAATCCCAAGTACCTTGAATGATCAAAGGACCATTTATAGGTAGATTAGAAATGATGAAAGTTCATCAAATATCCGACAAACTTAGATGAACTAAAAAAACTTAAATGCTTTCCAAATTGATCCAAATAAATATTAAAAAAAGAAAAGATAAAGAAGAATAAGATGAAGTCTATAATAAAAATAGTATAAATGTCATAATTTTCTCAATTTTTCATGAAATTAAACAAATGAATAATGAAAATTTAACTACTCAATCTCACGATCAAAGATCCATGCTCAAAATAAGTAAATAAACAACAAAAAAAAGTACACAAAAATGAAAATTAAACAACAATAAATCACTTTTACTTTTGGAGGTTCAAGAACACTTTTCAACTCTTGATTTTGAATCAATGGAGTTTCCTTGCAAAATGGTGATAATTATGGTATTAAATAAATAAATAAATAAAAAGTAAAAATGCAATAGAATTAAATAAAGAACAAGTATAATAGCCTACCTATTCAATAAAATAAAGAAATGACTTGAAAAAAAATGAAGAGAAAAAAAAGAAGAGAGCTTTGACTTAGTTTAATGAATATTTTGTGGTATTGTTCCTACAAATGAAAGAAAGAAATGTTTTATTTATAGGGTGAATGAGGTGGGAGTGTTGGTGTGATAATCCATGTGACTTTATGAGAATGATTCTTGGCCATTGATAAGTCCAAGTTGGCAATCCATGTGAAGTGTGAGAATGATTCTTGGCCATTGATAAGTATAAGTTGACAATTCATGTGAAGTGTGTGTACTATATTATAGTGGTCCAAACTTTTCTTTATTGACAAAAAATAAAAGGAAAAAGTAATAATAATAATAATAACTAAAAGTGTTAGTAATAATAATAAATACAAAACAAAAAATAAAAGAGACATTAAATTAACTATTTATGATTTTTTTTTCTTGAATTAAAATAAATGAAAATATAAGTGTAAATTAAAAGATAAAAAATAAAATACATATAAGAAAGTAAAATGACTTATATAATTTTTTCTAGATTTTTTTTGAAATAAATGATACCAATATATAAATTTAAAATAATAAAAGAACATATTTTTGATAATTTTTTAGTAAAGAGGTAAAAA